GTTTGTGTCAAACTCTTGAATTTTTATGAAGCGGGAAGGGGTGGGAGGGAGGGAGTAAGAGGGTGAATGTGTACGATTTTGGGGGTTGTCTGAACTGCAGGACTGTGCTTTCTGGAGAGCAGATTTCCTGCTGAAATGTCTGCAGTGAGATCAAAAATTCTCACTGCATTTTTTTCTCCTTTTCATTTTTGTACCAATCATGCAAAATGTTTGATTCTTTTCTGCAAAATAAAGAATATGGGTAATGGCGGCTGGTGCTTTTCCTTTCATTACCAGAGATCTGTCATGTTGAGAAGCATGTTCCCAAAGCTACAGACACTACCTGAATGATAACTGGTTCCAAGAGTCCAGAAGCAGAGGCCTGGGACTCAGGAATTCTTGGTTCTGTTCCACAGTGACATAGTCACTTATATGGCCCTCATCACTGTGATATTTGAGCACTGAGGCTATGTTTACAGGAGCTGCGTCTCCCATGAAACCACTCCATGCCAGCGGGAGAGCATCTCCCACCAACATAGCGCTGCCCACACCGGCACTTTTGTCACCAAAACTTTTGTCGGTCAGGGATGTGTTGTTTTTTCCCCACGCCCCTGACCGACAAAAGTTTTACTGACAAAAGTGCTAGTATTGCTCTTATCCTCCCAATGCCCTCTGAAGGAAGGAAACGTTAACCCATTTTACAGATAAGAAACAGAAGGGCACAGTAGATTAAGTGACTTTCCCAAAGCAGCTCAGAAAATGTGAGCCAGGAACTGAACTGAACAGGTCTGTCCTGTCCACTAATCATCCTTCTTGCGCAAGCTCTAAGCATCACTCCCATCCACAATTTGACTGACTCCAAATCTGAATACTTCCCAGCATTGAGAGATTTTGGTTTGGTCCCCTCTTAATCATTTTAATTATTTTCCAATTAACTTTACCATCTACTAAACTTTGTATCTAAACTTTTTAAATAAGAGTATGATATGCAGTTACATTGAGAAAGTACAAGGGCTTTTAATTCTTATGTACTAATCACCCACTTGCATCAGGATGTGATCCTCCGCTGGTTGCATGTAATGTAGACAGGCATCAGGCACAAAGTAGACTGTTTACCCACAGGTTTGAGTCCTAACAGCATCAGATCAGCCTTTCTCTTTCCATTAGGCAGCACAGAACTTTAAATTATGTCTCTTTCCTATCAGAGTTTTAAAAAATATTCAAGGGCCTATCTGCCCTGCCTGGTAGGTTTGGTAAGAATAAAAGTTCCTGGGGGGGGGGGCTCAGTGCTGTCTGCTGCCCTCCACCCCAGAGGTGGCTGCATTTTAGTGCCCCAAGCAGAGGCTGTGTGAAGTGTTTTTGGATGAAAGGTACTATAACAGTGGTCTCATTACCATCCATAGACACCCCCCCCACACACTTCCAGTGGTTTGTAGATTAAATGCTTGGAGCAGCTAGGAGGGAAATAGTCCATGAAAATATATTTTCCTTTTATCTTTATAATGTTCTCAGAACACTACTGTTGCCGGCACAGAGTGCCTGAGGACAGCAACAGCGGGGTTCGTTTCCCGGTGTGCTTCGCGCCAATAAACACACCAGGGGTGGAGAAACAGAGTTTATTTGGGATCCCAAAGTGGTGCAAGGAGACTGGCAAGTCTCAAATCAAGCACACTAACAGAAACAGTTTTTCTTCTTTTATACATTTTGCAGTTAAGCCTCACCCCCCTCTACCCCTCCCTTCCCTGGTAACAGTTACTAAGCAAATAACGATTACATTTAAGCAGTTAAGTCATTCTTGGCAGCTATAAGCCTAGCTTGGTAGTAACTTCTTTAAACCATTATCTTGTCCTTTTTCCCTTCAGCCAGAAACATGCAGGCCTCATTATTACTGCTTGATACCGGTGTGAGCAGGGGGTTGCACACAGATAACTGGTTGCTTACATATTCTAATTGCACCTGGCTTTTGAGGTTGATTAGAGTTTAAACATGGAAGAAGTTTGGTTCATATAGGCCTAGTGCAGGAAGGCTTCATTGACACTTAGTGGCCTTCCACCCTTCCGAGTTACCTAGGGTGATGCCTAGTGACGTCAACACTACCCCTTTTCTTATCGTTGATAAGGGCCCAATCCAGACGTCAATGGGGCTGCACGTGGGTGCAGCAATCTGTCCACAGATTCCATCGGCGTTTGACTATTTGTAGCCATAATTTTGATTGCACAATTGGGGACTTATTTGGGTAGGGACCGTTTTCAACCTGCTCTGCTGCAAACTAAGCAAGACTCTTAATTTCGATACACAGGGCCCTTTTTAACTGTTTGCTATCTTAGACTATTCTCAATTGCTATTTAATGTGGGGAATCTAATGTTTGCAATTTTCCTCCTTTTTTAAATAAATATTTTTTGCCCTGACACCCAGCCTTAACGGTATACAGTCTAATCACGTAGAAAGAACAGGAGTACTTGTGGCACCTTAGAGACTAACAAATTTATTAGAGCATAAGCTTTCGTGGGCTACAACCCACTTCTTCGGATGCATGCACGTAGAGGTCATCTTCCACTCTAAACATCCCAAGGTTCTGTACTGTGCAAAAAGATTAAGAGGGCTTGGTGGCAGCAGCTATTAAAAAGCAAAGTCTCATACTGTTTTCAGAAGTAAGGTGAGCAAGTGTGCCTGCAAATATAAACCTCCCAGGCAAGAGCAATCAGAAGCTAGTAACCTCTTTTTATGAGTCATGCTACTTGCAAACCGGAGGAGGATACCCCATGTACGAAGGGAAACTCAGGTCCAACTCCATCAAACTCCACATAGAAGCACGTCAACCAGTAGCATGCATAGGTAGAGGACTTCAGTTTGTTGCCCCATGGAGCACAGCAGGGCACTCCTCTGGTGAGCCAAGCAGCGCTCCTTTTGAGCCCCTCTGTGTAAGGAAAGCTCAACTGTCAGGACCTGCTGTGCAGAGGAGGTGCTCTTTCCTGTTCCACTGGAAGCAGCAGTCTCCCACACACAACACCTCGCTTCCCAGTCCGTACCTTCTTCTAGCAGCAAACATCTTAGGCTTGTACCCACTATTGCTTACTCCCCCGACTCAAAACCATCTCATAAAGCCCCAGTGGGTTGTACCCTTTCTGTGTTACCCTCTCCCATTCCAGATTGTCCAAAATATTGCTACTAAACCCTTCTCTTGTCGCTAATTCCCACCCCTTTGTGAGCTTCCTCTATTATCAGATTTAAGCTCTTAAGCCCTATCTTCCTGGCCCTGTAAGTATTTTATAAGTGATCATCTTGCTTTATAAGTGAGCTCTCCTAATAAACTCTAATGGCTTTTACCACATAATTAGACCATGTTCTTCAACCATTTTTGCTGCTCCATGGCACATGGAGCAGCAAAGCCTGCTAGGCGTCCTAACCTAATTGTTACCTGTTTGTCTCCAGCTGTGAGTGAAACAGAGACAGGAGCTACCTGGTGCAGTGAGGAGCAAAATAATGTGGCTAGCCCACACTGACAAAAGGATGGTGTGTGTGAAATGGTGTTCTCTCCATTTGTGTGGCTGTAGGGTAACCAGACAGCAAGTGTGAAAAATTGGGACAGGGAGTGGGGGGTAATAGGAGCCTATATAAGAAAAAGCCGCAAATATTGGGACTGTCCCTATAAAATCAGGACATCTGGTCACCCTGTGTGGCTGTGGCCAAAAAAAAATCAGAGTAATAACCAAGCCCCATTTTAAAATGTCACCTGACTGGTGTGTGAATTGCAACAGCCGACACGTGGTGCTGTGCCTGGGGAGGTGGGCATAGGCATAGTCTGATTTCTATACTCTCCCTAAACTACACCCATGGAGGTGGGGCAGGAACTGACAGGCCTGCACGCTATGTGGGTGGCCACGGGTAGGATTTTGATGGGCTGTTACGAAGCTTGCATGTGAAGAGAGGGAGAAATGGGGGCTGTGCCCATAAACGTCCCAGCCCAGCAGGGTGGGCCTTGGTGCCCCGTTACCAAGGTGTGAGCTGCCCTTGAACACGGTGCCAGTCAGTTTGGGGTGTGGCACCCAAAGCATCTCCCCAGGGCAGGGGCACAGGGCACCCCTCGTGGGAGGGCGGGCCTGTGCTTAGAGAGGGGGCTTATCCGCCTCTCCTAAGGGACCCACTCTACCCTCAGGCACCTGCCCACCACTACAGCTGTGTCCATGTACAGGCTGTTCCCATCTCCTATTAACCCCCCCAGCCTGTGCCCCTCAGCAGGGTCCCGCCTCCCCCCCGCGGCCGAATTGGCGGGAAGATGAAAGGGCGGGACACTTAAACGCAGCCGCTTCAGCGTGCCCACGGCGCATGCGCGAGGAGTCGCCGTCCGCGCGTGATGATGACGTATGCGGAAGGACACGTCACCCTGCTCGGGAAGCTGCTGAGAGGCTGGGCGCCGGAGGGAGAGGTACTGCTGGGAGCGCTCCCATTGCGAGAGGGGGGTTCCCCCACTCGCAGCTGCGGGAGGGTCTGGGGAGAGCCTGTGGTGGGAGGGGGGTACCTGACGCGGCTGGGGAAAGCCCCGGGGTGCTGAGGCAGCATGGCCTAGTGGTCAGAGCACTAGGCTGGGACTCAGGACAACTGGGCTGTACTCCCGTCTCTGCCACTAGTCCGCTGGGTGGCCTTGGGCCAGTCACTTCCCTGCCACGTGCCTCAGTTTCCCCATCTGTAGCACAGTGATAATGATCCTTGGTAAAGCGCCTTGAGACCTACGGATGACACGGGCTGTATGAGAGCTGGGTAGTGTTGTTAGTGGCTAGGGAGGAAGGCCAAGGTCTCGGGAGCCAGAGTCTCCTATTGAGAGGGGGGTGGGAAAGTTCTGGTAATAAAGCCCAAGTTCTGGGAGGTGGCTGAGCTGCCCTGAGTCCCTGGCCAGACTTCCTCTCTGGAGGAGAAAGGGGAGGGACTCTAAGTGAGAGTGGGTGAAGAAACCATCCCATCTATTCACCTAGGGCCCATGATAGATTCAAAACAAGGCCCGGATTGGTGTGTATTAAACAGCTAGAGGTGGACTATCCTCCCCCACCCCCAGGCTCTCTCTCTATCATTGCATTGCCTGCCCTTAGCTGAAGGTGAATAGCTCAGAACCCTAGTTGGAAGAAAGTAAAGGATTCTCTGGGAGCTCAGCAAATTGCCACAGGCCTGATCAATGAGCCAAACGTACATGGGACCTATCCACATTTGATGTGAGTTTAGTGCTGGTGAAAGATTCTGCCTTGATGACTGGAGGCTGAAGTCCTCTTTTTCTACAGAACAGAAATAGCATGAGCGGCAGCAGGGCAGGCTCTCAGCTCCTGCCAGTGTATATTGCCCCTAAATTGGAGCAAGCACTTCTGTGGGTGAAAGGGGAGTGCAGTCTCCAAGATCAGTTAGCCCTTGTCTTCGCTGATGACCAGTTAATGACAACCATGGTGGTAACTTTTGTAATGTGTGTGCTTATTCTCTGAAAACTGTGCTGAGACTCAACAAGTCTTTTCACACAGGCCATTGAACAGTTATCAGGTGGTATCCGTTTTTTCTTATTGCCACCCAGTGCTGGCAATATAAAGCTGACAAACTCCATATCCCATTTCTAAGCTATCCAGCCCTGGGCTTGCATACTGTGTTTTTCTACCTTTAGTATAAGTTAGTTTAAAAAAAAAAAAAAAAAAGCTCTTAGAAGGTGACTGACTAAAGCTTACTTTTCCAAAGTGACTGTTCTTACTGCTTTGGGCCCAAACAGATCCTCCTGATTTATTTGTCCCTCTTCTCATCTTGCCCCTCAAAAAGAGGCTGTGGGTAAGGCCATGTCATGGATCAAAGAAGGAGAGTTGACCATCATAGAGAGATTTTGTGCCAACATTATAAAGGTAAGACATAAACCTCAGTGCTACCTGTGACAACCAAGCATTTTCAAGATTGCTTCTCTATATTAGAGAAAAGAACTATCACTGTGACTGCTTCTGTAAAAAAATGCCATTGTACAGGAACACATGTTAACACTAGTACTGAATGTACATTCCTAAATTGTATTCAGGGATGGAAAATTACACTGGCTTGAATCTTGTGGATGAGCAGAGCCATAATTGATGCTCATCAGTAGCAAGCTGGGATTCCCAGATTTCTAATATTTGTAGCGCTGTCTGATCAAGAGAGACATTATTTTAAGATTCATTATCTTGTCATCCTCTTGCCCTTTCTCTCATTTCATTTCTGATAACCAGCATCATAAGAATCACTAGAGCTAGAAATTATTTTACCATCTAAAAGCAGATGGAAACCTTAGTTTTCAAATGGTATTACGTGTTTGTCTGTCTAGTGGTTTGAGAAATAATGGCTGTTAAAATCATATGAGAATTGAAGAGGGGGTGGGAAGGATGCAGACAGAATATTTTAGATTCATATGATTCCAATTCTTCTTTTAAAAAAATATTTATATTGAATGTAATACATCCTAATAGTTCTAGAAAACTGTCTGCCATACCCTCTGCAAGCAACTCTCGAGAAACTTATGCTGTTGCTGACATAAGCATCTCTGTTTCCATGCTCAAAAAGAGCTGTAGATGCCTAGTGAAATTAAGGGGAGGAAATATCCATTTTAGGGGTGAAAGTCAGATTTTTCTCCATGTAAATGAGTTGGGTCTGTAGTTTCTCTTGAATGCTGAAATTGTAAATGCTTACAATACTGGCACCGTGGGACTCGGAATACCTGCTGAGTCTTCATTGACAGAAGGTGGTAATCACTTCATAGTGCTGTTCCAGGCTCTCTTGTATCCTAAATATGGTCAGTTCTCTGTCGCACAACAGAGTAAAGGAGAGCCAAAGGCAGTTAATGGTGAGTGCCACGGTCATAGTGCTTCAAATGGACTCTAAGCTAGGGTTACCAAAGAGCCATATGTACATCTAGTAGCCTGTGTTCTTCTGTCTTTCGCTATCTTGACTCCCCTTCGCCCCCGAACTTTACAGGGAGTCCATTAGATGGATTCTATACTAAAGTGGAGGCACTGCCAGGAGCTGGATGGGTTAAGCTAATTGAGGTGGGACTCCAAGTTGGTTGTTAGCTTTCTAGTCTGTTTAGCCTTTCTTTTTCTTGCCATCTAGGCAGGTCCGATGCCCAAGCATGTCGCATTCATCATGGATGGGAATCGCCGTTATGCTCAGAAGTGCCACGTGAAGAGGCAGCAGGGGCATTCAGAGGGCTTCGACAAACTGGCACAGGTGGGGAGGACCTTCTGTATAGGTGCTTTTGGGTGACAGCGGTTTGGATGTTGGATCCCTGGTTCCAGTTTTCCTCAGCATTTTCTTTCTTAGTGCATGCACAATTGTCCCCTTTCTTAAAGGGAGTGGAATCTGGTATTTAGACCCTAGGGCTGGGAGTCAGAATTCCGGGGTTCTGTTCTCAGATCTACCATTGACCCCTGTGGCCTTGGGAGAGTCACTTAATCTCTCCTATTTACTCATCTGTAAAACAGGGATATAATACCTACCTCACAGATCATGAGGCCTAATGTTTATAAAGCACTTTCAGATCCTTTAGTGAAAGATTACAAAGTACACAGTGTGATAGATATGACAATATCCTGGACAAACCTTACTGAACTGAGTCCAATACCTTTTGGGATTGGATTAAATATGCAATTGTTTGTGTTATTGTGAGATTGTATGTAACTTCTCGGGGGGAGGGGGTTGCGGTGCTAATGTAATTCCTCCAGTTATCAGTCCTTTGAAGTCCCCCCCGGAGAGGCTCATATATACTAGTTCAAACTCTGTTCTCTAGGGATCAACATCCAAAAAAAGGATTTTGGGATAAATAGCCTGTTTTTAAACCGACTCAGAGCTTTTGATTCTGATCCAGCAAACAGACAAGACCCCCAGTCCGTGGAGGTCTCCAGTCCTTAAGGAAGGGTTGGACGGACTGACACCGACCAGACTTGTGGAGATTTGGGGGGTGGGTAATCTCCAAGATTATTAGCAAGCATTTAGATTCTTTTATTGTTTTTGAATATGATTCCTCTGTGAGAAGAAAGCAAGCAAGCAGGCTCATTTAGGCAATCTGTCTTTTTTGCTGGGAATAACACAGTGAAGGCAGGGAACTGTTTAGCCTAGAAATCCTGGTCAGAAGGGAGAGAGATGGGTGGGGGGGCTGGAAGCCTGAAAGTCAGTGCCCTAGCTGGACCACTAAGGGGAAGTACAAGTGCACTTGCCATGAACTGACACATGCAGTATTATATTATGTATTAATCTTTTCTCTTGTATGCTACAAGAAGTGGTTTCCTTGGATGGGTTAGTACTCGGTCTGTTCTGGAATTGACCTCTCTGGCTTAAATACTGTAAATGTTTTCAGCCCTCTGTGAGCCTTCTGCTAGATGTTTATTTCACGAAAGTGGCTCATCCCTACTCCCTCTACCTAGGCTTCCAAGATTCTGCGCATTGTTATAACTTCTGTGGCTACAAAGAGTTCCTGGCCATAATAAGTGACTGTAGGAAGTGTTGGTGTAACTCTGCACTGAAGGTGCTCAGATTGGAACGTTAATGAAATGGAAAGGTGACAAATTCAAAATTGATGCAAAGAAATACTTTTTCCACACAGTGCGTAATTAGACTGTGAAACTCCATTGCCATATGACGTTGTTGAGGCCAGGAACTTTGCGAGATTCAAATAAGATTTGGACATTTATCAACCGTTAGAACTCTGGATATTCTTGTTATCCATATAGTTTGGGGGGCAGGGGGAAGGGAAGGTTGTTTTTGGTTTTGGGTTTTTTTTGGTGGTGTGTGTTTTTTAAGGTTCTGGAAGGGATATAAAACCTCATGAATCAGGGTTTATGCCAATCTCTAACTATTAGGGGTTAGGATGAGACTTTCATGGAAGTTGGGCTGTCCCACATCTGCCTACTGTAAGTTTCTTCTGAAGCATCTGTCGCTGGACACTGTTGGAAACAGGACGCTGAACTAGATGAATCTCTGGTCTGACTCATTACGGCAATTCCTATGTTCCTAAATATTCCTTCTGTTTTACTGGCTGTTCTTAGAACACACTGTAATCTACCCTGTAACAGGCCCTACAGTTACACTCCGTGTTTAGGTTCTGAGCAGGGGTAAAGAGAGGTTATATTTGTTCAAGCCAAGATTATTTTCCAGAGTTCTTTGAGGTGAACCTGGAATCTTTATAGAACTAGGGCCATGGTAGACTTTTTTCTTTTCTTTTCTTTTTGTCCCAGTCATTGTTAGTGTAGTGATGAACTTCCATGAAGTTCACACACTTGCTGAGATCTGGTGCTCTGAGTCAGTGGGGTACACAGAGGTCTTCCACGGGGTACATCAGCTCATTTAGAAATTTGCCTAGTTTTACAACAGGCTGCATAAAAAGCACTACCGAAGACAGTACAAACTAAAATTTCACACAGACAATGACTTGTTTATACTGCTCTATATATTATACAATGAAATGTAAGTACAATATTTATATTCCAATTGACTTATTTTATAATTGTATGGTAGAAATGAGAAAGTCAGGAATTTTTCAGTAAGAGTGTGCTGTTACACTTGTATTTTTATGTCTGATTTTGTAAGCAAGTAATTTTTAATTGAGATGAAACTTGGGGGTACACAAGACAAATCAGACTCTGAAAGGGGTACAGTAGTCTGTAAAGGTTTTGAGTCACTGCTCTGAGTGACTACATTTTTCCTCTTGCAGACACTGCGGTGGTGCTTGAATCTGGATATCCGGGAGGTCACGGTTTATGCATTTAGCATTGAGAACTTTAAACGCTCCGAGGAGGAGGTGGATGGGCTGATGGAGCTGGCGAGGCAAAAATTTAGCCGCCTGCTGGAAGAACAGTAAGATCCTCTCAAGCCCACGCCGAGAGGGCGAAATAAATTTGGGGCAAAGGGAGAAATGGCAGTAAGGGATGTTAAAGTGATGTTGTGATGTGATGTGTTAATCTGCATTAACTCAATGAAAGCAGCTGTATATGTCTCCAGCTGGAGACCTGGATTCAGTGTGGATTTAGATGACCACAGAGAGGCAATTTAATGTTCAACAACTTGGCACATTTATTTGTGTCTGCGTGCAACGTGCGACAAAAAGAATGAAAGCCCTGACTTTTGTGACATCAGAAGAACTGTCAGGGGACGGGGTTAGAATAAAGGGGGCTGGGTTAGCGTAGTTCAGTTTTTAGGTGAATTGGTAAAGGTAGAGAGGGGCTGGAATATTGGAGTGGTGCTGTACGTCAGGACTGAGGTAGGCTGAAAACTCCACTCAGGAGCTGGTACTGGAATACCAAGGTGGTTGTGGATTTCAGGATAGCGCTACTAGGAGAGTGTCTCTTCTGTCCAAAATAACTATATAATGAGCACGTTTCCTGTCGGCATTGTTTTTCCCTTGTTGATGCACTAGTCTCCCCTCCAATTGGAAATTAGTGATAGGTGACTAGCCACTACTAATTCTAGTTGCCCGAACCCCTCTTAATTTCTGCTTAGTAAAACGCAGGAAAATAATCACTTGTATAAAAATCTTTCTTCTGATGAATTTAATAGCCTCTAAGTATGGCAAACAATGCACAATCCCACAACTATGATCCTTACCTTGGTTCTTTTTTGGACAATTACTGAACTATTTCTGTGTGTCGGGAAACTGGGTTATTTTTATTTTTAAATTTCCCTTGAAGAAATGGCTAGAGCTCTAGTGATGGTCAAATTCAGGCTGCCTGTAAACCATTTCAACACTACAAGCCTCACTGCCAGTTACATCAGGTCTTCATTTCACCTGTGATGTCATGACCCTCTTCCATAATAGATGTTAGGAGTGCCAGATGTGACTTACAGGCAATAGGTAGGCCCTACCAAATTCACAGCCATGAAAAACGCATCACGGACCGTGAAAACTGGTCTTTTGTATACTTTTACCCTATAGCAATATTTCTCAAACTGAGGGTCCTGACCCAAAAGGGGGTGGCAAGGCTATTGTAGGGGGGGTCATGGTATTGCAACCCTTACTTCTGCACTGCCTTCAGAGCTGGGCAGCCAGAGAGCCGCAGCTGCTGGCTGAGTCTCCAGCTCTGAAGGCAGTGACATTATCAGCGGCAGCACAAAAGTAAGGGTGGCATTGGGGTGGGGGGGTCATCACTCTTTGTGGGAGGTTGTTGTGGGCTTTACATGTTTATATTGCTGGTTTTAAATACATATTCATGCTTTCTTACAACACTGTGAAATTTAAGATTTTTAAAATGCTATGACCATGAAACTTACGAAAATGGACTGTGAATTTGGTAGGGCTATGGCATGCCTGCTGTTGATCAGAGCCCAGCTGCTCTCCTCAGCCTTTGTTGTTCTGTGTAGGGAGAATTTGAAGAAGCATGGTGTGCGTATCCGTGTCCTTGGGGACCTGCCACTTCTGCCACTGGATATTCAGGAATTGATTGCCCAGGCTGTGCTGGCAACCAGGAACTACAACAAGTGAGTAATACACAATTCAAAGTTGCAGAGATACTGTATCCATCCCATGCCCTTGGAAGTGGAGGTTCAACAGACACTGCACATTGTCCCTTTCTGCCTTTTTCCCCATAAGCATGCATCAGTGTTCTAGATAGATACTTCTCTCTGTTACCTGCTGGGTCCTTCCTTGAGTTAGTTTCTTTCACATTTTTCAGATGTTTCCTGAATGTCTGCTTTGCATACACGTCAAGACATGAAATCAGCAATGCAGTGAGAGAGATGGCCTGGGGAGTGGAACAAGGACTACTTGAACCTAGGTAACTCATGTGTCTTGCTCTAATGACCCTAGTCTACCCACATCCCCCTCACAGCTTCTGGGATTACTGTGCAGTCTTCCATAGGTGCAACAACATAAGAGCCATTGCTTTAAAATCCAGTCTGTTTCTGGATGTCACCATTAGGATGGTGGCATGAAATAAAGCAGGGTGGATTTGATTTAAATCAAATTGATTTAAATCACTAGTCAGGAATACTCTATTTAATCATGGATTTCTATATAAAAGTGCATTCTTGTTGGTTGTTATAACCTTAATACATATTCTTCACAACTCACAGATAGATGTAGGTTTCATTTTAGAAAGTACACACTATACATTTTTAAAGTGATTTACTTTGAAAACTTTTCAGATTTAGTTTTACAGCTATATCAGAAAACGAATGATTGTTTGGTTATTTCATTTACCAAAGGTAACTGAAGGAGATATTTATGAAGTCATTGGGAGGTGAACTATCTCCAGTTGAACAGGTTAATCATTAATATTTGGAGGATTTTCTTGCCATGCTGTATTAGGAGGGGAACATCACCAGACAGACATTTAAATTGTTTTATTTAACTAAAACAACAACGTTATGTATTCTGGATTGTTTTCTTCAACAGCAAACATATACTACCGGTATTTTAACAAAACAAGCATATGAATTTTTGAATTGTTAAACATTCAAGTTTTTTAAAATCAGGTTTATTTTTGTTAAAATTGTTTTAACTAAAATAGTTAAATTAAATATTAAAAAAAAAAAAAGTTAAATAGACTATGTCAGCCAGGTCAACATGAGAAACTTAAAATATTGGCTTCTGCAGCTAACTCAGTCGTCTTCACCTTCATTTTCCTGTTTGTTCATAATCTGGAAAAGAAAAAAAAGCTTTTTTCAGGTCCCAAACGATTTCTCAATTTGGAATGAATTAGTCCAAAGGAAGAAAATATTCTTTCTATACAGGCAGAAGAAGCTACTGCTGTTAAAAGTGAGATTATTACTTCAACAGTCTCTGAATCCAAGTGCTTAAGTGACTTCCACCAGTTCACTGGTGTGACTTTCTTTAAAACATCATCAGCAAACATATATTTCTTGAATGGTTCACCCTTAGCTCAGAAGTTATTATAGTTGGCATTATGGAGGGATGATTGCTGGATGTCCACGTCATAGCCAACTCCTCTTCTTCAGCAGTTAAGGTTTGACCATGGTACCGAGTATTGAGAATACTTGCAAGAAAATGAGCTGGAGATAGTGCTTGTCGCATTCATTTTTTTAATGCTTGTAATTTTACTCTGTCGTTGCATATTTCTCTTTTTAAGATCTCACTCCGTTCCTTTCAAATTTCAACAGCGTCAGCAATAAAACAGCTATTTCCCTGCATTTTGTTCAAGGCTACAGAAATGGGCATCAGGGTACTCAGCATGTGTTCAACGTTTTCTCTTAAGCCCAATGTTGAGAACTTTGGCTGTGACAGTGCCATCTATTTTTCATAATTTTGTTCACAAACTGTCATCAGATTAGGCCAGTTCTTGATATAGTTCTCAAAACAGTCCACTGCTGAGTTCCATCGCACGTCTTGTGGGAAAGTTAGCTTGGTTCCTCCCACTTTTTTTCAGAGCAGCTGCTGCAAAGTGGTTATTACAGAAGTATTTTGCAATTTCAACAACATTAGCCTTTATTTCTGGAACACTGAAGTCTTTGGCTAGGATGTGCATCAAATGAGCACTGCAACCATATGTTATTAGCTTGGGACTCTCTTCTAAATTTCTTCTCATTTTGGATACATTTGCAGCATTGTCTGTGACCAAGCTGTGTAATAGACATTTGAATTTTTTTTCACGGTTTGTTATAGCTTTTACTGCTACTTCTTGTAAGTATCCTGCTGTGTGTGCATTTCCTGAAGTATCAAGTGTTTCTGTAAGGAAAACCTTCTTCTGTTGTCACACAAGCACATACAACAGGATCATTGTGGAGATTGCTCCACCATCAAGACTCAGGTTAACAATTTTACCCTCTAGACCTTTTGCACACTGCTCAATTTCTCTTTCATATACTTTATCCAGCAATTTGCCTGCGACATCTGCTCTGTTGGGTGGACTGTATCCTGGTCTTAATGACTGAACCATATTAATTAAATGTGGGTTCTCAATCATACGGAAAGGAGAGTTTGTTGCATAAACAAACCAGGCAATTTTTTCATCAATTACCTCTTTTTGTAATCTGCTGGTTCCTATTACAAACTTATCTATACTTGTTTCTGGATGATGGAGATAGTGGTTTGTTTTTTTTCCCTCTTTTTGCTCTTTTTGCTACAGGTGATATACTGTGGCTATGTGACATACATGATGTGACTGAAACACTATCATTGGCAGATAACTCTGAAACTATAGAAAACGATGGTGATCTTGAAAGTGGATAGTCTTCAGAATCCTGTATGTTGAGGATGAATTCTCCTAAACAAAATAAGTCAATGCAGTTATTTAATTATTATTTCCATACTGCTCATTTAGTATTACTCATTGTATTCACTGACACTCAGTACTACTTTAAAGGTGAAATTGTAAAAGGAAGATCTGCCTATTTCAGCTATTTATTTTTTTTATCACAACTGCATCTAAAATGATAGTACCATAGAGTAACAACTATATTTTTTGCTCAAACATGAGAATTCAAGAATAGTCCATAAGGAAGACAGGCAGTCTTTAAGAAAGAAGTATGAAATAAAAAAGCTTACCAACCTGAAGATCCTGCATTTTCAGACATGTTCCTTTCATCATCTTCAACGCAGCTTCCTCCTGAGAAGGAACACTTCTCATGATGTTGTTTCATCCGGGCAAACGGGCCTTGCATTTCTTTGTTGCACTGTTTGCATTTTGCATGCATGCCTCTCTTACCTACAGGTAGAGGAACTTAATTAAAATATTCCCAAACTGGGTCTCTCTTACGGCCTGCTGCCATTATAGGTTTTCCCTTCTAGTGAGAGAATGGTATGGTAGATCTCAAATCAATGAAGGCTACACTCAAAAAGACCTCAAGATTTCTTGAATATGCTCCTCCAATAGTTTCACTTTTGTTTCTACTGCCTGTCCCTCCCTTCTCACATTTATCTCCAGACTTCTTCTCCTTGTCCAGATCTATTCTGCCTCCCAACAATCTTCTATTCTTTGCACTTTTAGAGAGAGGTAAGGGATTGACTGTGTGTACACAAATTTGCAGAGGGACAATAGGGTTGAGGTCTGTAATTTTTCACCTCAATATATTTATTTATTTATTTAAAAACATTTTTGCTGTTAACAAGCATGTTATCTCTGGAGACACAAATCCACAGTTTGAGAACTGCTTAACTAAACATTTCTGATGGTATCTTCTAGACTGAGCATTGAGTCCCTTTGGGTAGATAAAGATTAACCTAAATAATCTATAACGAAACCCCTGGAACCTCACAAGATTAGGTCCCTAATCCATTAATTTTTGGAACTCGTTTATAAAACTTTTCTTAAACATTACATGACTATATTGTCTCATACTATAGAATTAGGATTTATAGTCCCTATTCCATGATGAGATATCTTTGAGCTATAATGTATCTTAATTAAAACTATCTTTAGATAGGTTTTTTCCTCAAAAAGCATTTTATCAAAAAAAATCCGACTTTAGAAAAAAATCGGATTTTTTTTTAAAATTTAATCATTTACTTTTTTCCAGGGTGGATAAAAATAACTGGGAGAGCAAGACTGCTTTTGATCAAAAGACTTCAATGTGGAACGTTCTATATGTGGTGATAAAGAATTCAGGGGTGATGGGTTTACAAGGTCTTTCAGCGAATAGTCAATCCTCTCTCTCCACCACTGCTAACCACACTTGACAGGATAATGAGTTGCTCTTTAAAAGGGTGCTGGATGTGATTCCAAAACTGGTCCCTGGAGTGCTTGCTTGTGGCTCACAGAGAGCTGGTTAGTCATATGATGCTGGCCTCTCCTTATTTTCAGCTGCCGGACTGCATTAAAAAAAACCAACCACAATTATATCAAATACCTTAATATTGAGACAGATTCTCTGCCCCTTTGTGCTATGGGCCCTAGCCCTTTTATAAGGGGATCCCCCAGCATGGAGAAGTCCCAACAGCTGTGGAGCTGGCATAGCCAGCTCCTGCACTGCCTTCTCCACAATTTCCTGGCACAGGGGGACAGAGAGGAGGTGTGCCCAGGACACATTGGTGCTGTGAAGTGACAAGGCCAATACTTTCCCCTGGATGTTCAGCAGATTGCTTTGCAATGTCCAGTCTTGAACTGAGTCGTTGTTTCAGATAACCCATCTATGCTACGAGTACAGACCTGTAGGAGACCATGTTACAATGCAGTTGTCTTAAACTGGTTCCACCCTGCTTCCAATTGTAGTGTGTGGGATCTTAACTATGTCTCTCAACGAAGCTAAAGCTTTGGATACACCCAGCAGGAATTCTAAGATCTCACCTACGCTGTAAATTTGAACTGTGTTGTAACTAGTTTAGGGAGCAAACATGTGGTAACCCGTAGGGTATATAGGCCCTTACTTTACAGGTTTTGATAGCTACACAAAACTTTTTTTTTTTTTTTTGGTCCCAATACACCCATAAATGCCATTTTAAAGAGATAGTAACACCACAGCGCCTTGATTTGGTAAGTTGTGTAGTCTGTCAGTTAATGTATTGTAAAAACAGGATGATTCCTTAAAAATTTCACCTGATATTTTGTCATATTTTCCCTACTGGCCCTTAGGCATTCACTGATTCCAATCAGACTAGTTTATAGTGACTGAAAATTACTATATGGCCTTAGGTAACATGGTGATGAGTACGGTACAAGAACCTGAACGGAACAAAAGTGAGCTGGAGGGTCTCAATTCAGTTCCAGTGTTTATGGCATAAAAGATGCCTTGACAGTTGGCTTCCTTGCTGGCAGTCTCAGTTGTGAGGTCAAGTAACAAATGGATTATAGAGACTGAACTCCCCTCTACATGCTGGAGCGGGGATAGAGTTGAGATGGTCAGGAGAAGGGAAGGCGCTTGCACTGCCACTGTCTGTGCTGTAGATCTCTTCAATCTCTGGTGTTCTCTGTCCAGAACCGCAAACTCATACCTTTGTAAGTAGGCCTAGTAACTCTGATTTCATGGTGTCGTCACTGTCAGGTTATGAAAGTGATCTTATTAATGGGAAGTCTCTCTGTCTGTCTCTCTTTCTCTCAGCGATGTGTCAGAGTCATTGCTCGATAAATGTCTCTACACCAACAACTCCCCCAACCCAGACCTCCTGATACGAACCTCTGGAGAGGTCCGGCTTAGTGACTTCTTGCTCTGGCAGGTAAAACCTCTGTCTTGTCCTGAAAATATTCCGTATTTGCATAGCAGGCCTTTCTTCTGAGCCCAGGAGTCAGCTGACGTGAGAGAACCTCTTCAGAAACCAGTCATGTCTTGGCACCAGCAATTCACTGGATGATCTAAATCCCAGGGAAAATCCCAATATGAGCTTTTTCCATCTCTCCTGACTTCACGGTGCTCTAATGCACTCCAGTGTAACAAACTGGAGATTGTAATTGTCCTGAAAACACTTAAAATAAGAAATCACAGTCTAGTTCACAAGTTGGTGAAGAGACTGATTTGTACCTTCCTTGTTCATTCTCTCACTCATGTCAGTCCAAGTTTTAGATTATCTGAAACTGGGAACTAACCAGTCTGGCAACATATACCCCTGGGATGTGATGGAAGGAATGTGTGATGAACATCCACTCTTAGCTGTGAATGTTTAGAGGGAAAGGTTTAAAAGGACATTATCAGGTTTAAAACTAATAGATTTAAGACTAGCTTGTCAATATGCATTTTATTTCTGTTTATTTCCTTTTCTATTTCTTGTGCGCTAGAGCAGTGCAGTAAAGTTTGGGCTGCAAACAATGCAGAAACATGTTGGAATCAAACCGCTTTTCAGTTAAATTAGAGAGAAAAAAAAAAAAACTTGTTTGGACCCTAAATTACCTGCTGCCTTTAAACAATCACTGATCATGTCTCAGTTACCAGCTCTGCAGATGACAAGTTTGCAGATGTTCTCTAATCTGAGTTGTGACTTGCTTCTAAATTGTCCTGCCCTTCCCCTCCAAAAGTTTGGGGTACACGTGTACTCTGGGCAGATACGAACATCATAAGCGAATGTTGCTCTCACTACTTTCATTCATCAACTCACCAGTGAGGTAAAGGATTAATGGCCTTGAAGAATGAACTACGTCATTAAGGGTCCCTCCACGTAGTGCCTGAGCCAACTTGACAGGGCATTAGTTGGAAATGTACATTCCTACAGCACTTGTTATAAATGGAGTTCTTCATTCTGTCAGTCTGGCATTCTTCATCAGCACAGTTTCCACAATAGCAGTTTGTAATAATATTAGAGGTGGAGGTTCTGACAAGCTGAATCCCTGCTTTCCTTCGTTCTTGCTTCTCCTCATAGTGTGATCCTGTAATGTAGACCTATAACAAACTGAATGGCAACACAGAGAAGGGCACAACAGCTGTCACCCAAAAATATATGTCTGACAAATACCTTTATGCCATGTATCTGCGCTGATAAAATAAGTTTGTTCAACTTCTAGTCTACATTGGAGAATGGGAGGAAGTGGCCAAGAAATGGATCAGACGTTCTGGAGAAGTTACTAAATGGTGTGAGGGTTGTGTGTACTGCAGTGGTGACACTGGAAGTGTGTCCTATACAACATGACAGCCCTGAAACAGGAGTTATTCTGATGCTGATGAAGCTAATTTGAAATATTGAAGGGAATGTCTTAATTGTTATATTTATCTGCAACAAAATGAGAACTTAAAATTCTTTAGACTTTATATAGCGATTTTTAAATCTTCAAAGAACTATACAGACAAGAGCAGTCCGTGCAATGTCCCTGGAAGGTAAAGCATTATCCACATCTTGCAGAAACCCTAGCAGAAGAATTAGGCTACGTCTTCACTACCCGCCGATCCGGCGGGTAGCAATCGGTTTATCGGGGATCGACTTACCGCGTCTCGTGAGGACGCGGTAAAATCGATCCCTGATGGCTCTACAGTCGACTCCGGAACTCCACCTCGACAAGAGGCGGTAGCGGAGTCGGCGGCAGCGCGGCAGCGGTCGACTTTCCCGCGTCCTCACCGCCAGGTAAGCCGACCTAAAATACGCAACTTCAGCTACGGTATTCACGTAGCTGAAGTTGCGTATCTTAGGTCGGAAGTCCGCTGTAGTGTAGACCTAGCCTTACATAACTTTCCCAAGTCTTTAGAAGGAGTTGATGGCAAAACCAAGATTTAAGTGGAAAGCTCCTGGCTCCCAGTCCTATGATGTCACCACTGTGTCTCAAATCCAATGTGCAGTTACAATGACATTAAGAGGGGGCAAAAAGGAATCATACAAGATGTCCTATGATAAATGGTGGTCCAGAGGTCTTGTTCCGATCACTAATATGAACCTGTCATCCATTCCTGACACAGGCTCCAACAGTCATGTGATGCTGTTTTAGTTTTGATGCTTAATTTACTAGCAATAGATTCTCTTAAGACTGATGTAGCAGTCTAACCCTGCCTGCATATTGTACTAAGGATGGAAGGCCCTTGCAGTCCCAACAGTAGAAACAAACAGGTGGAAATAGAACAGTGTTGAGCTGACTCTGAATTTCCTGGCTGTTGTGGTTTTAATTTAAACCCCCTTCATCCAAATGGCATGTTATCATCCCTCAGAGGGATGATTGTTGCTCAACACTTCCCAGCCTTTTCCTATTAAAATTTCACACAACCAGTCCGATAAATCAGGCTGTGTTGTAATTCTTGGAATACTGTATTGGACAGCCTCATGTACGCATGCAGGCAGGACCTGATAAACAAATCCTATGAGAGCCCCTGCCTGGGAAGCTCTGGCATGGCTTGTGACTGACCAAGCCACTTCTTGATGATTTTCATCCCTAGGTTATTAAATTCTTGGTGATCTTGCTTTCTGCAGACATCCCACTCATGCTTGGTCTTTCAGTCTGTGCTGTGGCCAGAATATTCCTTCTGGAACTTGTGTGAGGCTATCCTTCGGTTCCAGATGAACCACAGCGCTTTACAGGTAAGAGCACTAGCGAGGAAGAGCCCAAGACAATATATTGTCTACACAAAACAGTAATATGCTGGAGGCCAGGAGAGCATGTGTGTAACGTAGCCTAGTAAGTATTAGAAACATTGCAATTAACCATGTTTGGATAAACTAATGATATGTCTAGTCAGACACTGTTTCAATAGTGGCCTACAGCAGATGTTCAGTAGTGGGGTGAGTACCATGATGCACCATATCAACACTTGTCTGGTGGCTGGGGTGGCTTCTGCAGAATGTTTCACAAAACTATTTCTAGCCTTTATAATAATGATGGCTTAGAAAATCTGAGCCAATGCTGATCTGACCTGATTCAATACCGTCTGCCTGAGTTTGCAGATAAAAGAAACAGCTCTGACAGCTGGGATCCTCCCGTTCATCTCATTAGAGTGTTCATTCTGAAGCATAATGATACATTGTAATACAATTAACTCATCGACTGATGATCATTTTAATAGAAATAGCCAGACACTTTGAGATTCTGGGCAGCACTGAAATACCACTACTTCTTCCATAAGTAATGAGAAGGTGAAAAGCCCCCCAAATGCTTCAGACTTCTTATAGGCTTGTCATTGATCATGTAATTTGGGTTGCACCTCAGTGTGAAAACACATAAAATGTAAACAAATTCCCCTAATCTCACTTGATTGCTTTAATGCTCTCATTTATTTTGAGGGTATAATAGTGTTTAATTATAATGAGCCTGGTTAAAATGTTACCTAAATGTAGTTAACCCCAACTTCAAGGTATTAACATGTAAATTCCCAACTCTCTGGGAGCGTTCTTATCCTATCCCTTTCAAACATGCAGATTGTTGAAAAATAAGCAAATTAATGTTTTTACTGCAATTCTATTCATTTAATATTCTCTGCTTTCCATTTAGTTTTCTTTCTGACCTAGATTGATTTAACTAGATAAGGAGGAATTTCTCCATCGGTGCTACGGCTTATTAAGTATGGGTTACTAAAACAGCCAAAAGTGAAACTAACTGTGGCTAGCTGTCATAATAGCTTCAAAGCTGTTAGCCCCATACATACTGAGATTAGGCCAGCTATCTCGTGGCAACCGGAAATCAGTTGAGGGTGTCTCTGCAGAAGTTGGTTAAAGATCCTAGCCAAAACTTGTTTGAATTTCTAATTTTGTTTTTGGCTTTATTTGGTACTTGTGTTCCCATGTATTACTAACGAATACAGTCAAATACAAGGATTTATTTAAAAAAAAAAAAAAGTTACTGCTGCTAGACCAAATTTTATAGGAACTCCGCATTTTCCAGTTACTAGCACTGTCACTCGTATCCTCATTTAAGAAGAGTTGCTAGTGCCTTAATTAAATGAATAACCAAGATTACTTGGGCAGCCTTAATCTTTGGATAGTGCTCCACATTGGTACATGAAAATTGAGTTAGATTTCCAGGCCCGTTCTCTCTCTAGAGCATCGGGGTTGTACATGCTACTGGGAGTGCATTTAGGCTTTGTGGGAGGAGAGCTCCTTGTCACTCTAAAGCAGTGATACTCAGACTGGCGCTTAGGAGCCACAAGTGGCTCTTCAATGTGTCTTTTGCAGCTCTTTGCAGCATATGATATTAAAACACTGTGATTTAATTATTTACTAATCAGGATACTTTTACTATGTTATTAACCAATTGTAGAATACTTGGTCAGTCATTTCGCTGTGAGAATAATGTATCAAAATAGTAAATGAAGCAATGAATTCAAACTACTGTGGCTCTTTTGGGTGATGTTGATCACTAATTTAGCTCTTGAGCCACTGAGGTCAGAGTATCACTGCTTTAAAATAACCACTGAAGCTTCAGAAGGAACTGGGATGAAGGCACATGAAGAAAGTCCCATCCAAGGCCAAGGAGGGTCCGCATAGGTGTGGGATGAATTGTGAAGAGAAGGAAGTATGTCAATGAAGATATGATAGGGTTTTGGTGGCTTGACTTCTGCTGCTAGATGACAGTGAATTTTATCAGTTGAGGAGGTTTATTTTAGGAGGGGATTTCTGCACTGTCAGGACAGTTTTTGGAGACTGTGGGAGCCCGGAAGGGCTGGTACGGTTGAGGGTTTGAAAGCTAGCAGAAGGGACATGTCGAAGGCGTTTATCGCTGTGTGGGAGTATTGGAGAGTTACCTTCCTCCCCTTCGGCCTCTGTTGGGATCAAACTGCCTCACTGTGCCATCTGCCATTCTGCAGCATAGGTTGTGCAACATAGAGGCTGGGGCCTTCTAATCCCAGATCATACAACTTCAGGCTTTTGAGCACCCCATTAATTGCTCTACAGTGGGCCCACAATTCAGTAGAGAGACTAGGAGTTTGGTACATGGCACTGGTGTGTAGTAGTGAGGCAGCTGTAATCTGAGTTGCTCTGTGATAAATGGGGGGAGGAGGGTAGTGGAAATGATTAAGGAGAGACTGGTCAGCAAGCCACTTCCATTGAAATGAAGACATCAAGTCCCTCCTGGTAAACTGGCAGTCTGTCCAGAGGCAGAAATCCTATGTAGAAGAGTTCAGTTATCTTGTATTTCAAACAGGCAACACTATGCCTGTGGAACATACCTCAATTGAATGGCTCATCCAAGCACATAAGGAGTGCTTCTGCTCACACTACTAGCAGCAAGAGAGTTAAACTGGCATCTAAAAATCTCTCATATAGACTTCCTCACTGGAGTGAGTTGGGGGTCATTCCCACTTTTTACGGCTACTGTTTGCCTTGTTGCTTACTTGAAAGGACAGCACTACCTTGGTATGTTTGCCATTTTGTTGTCACAACCCTAGAGTTAGAAATATTTTTAGAACAAAGCTTATTTTTGTGGAAAGTGTTGGGGAGACTCCTAAATCCATTTAAAAAAAAAAAAACAGTCTCCATTCATGTAGATTTCTAGTATTCAAAGCTACATGACTGCAGACTTCAAAATGTGATGTGGAGAGAAATCAAACTATTTTTGTACTAGAAAATTTCAATACTTAAATCTGTTACCTTTCTATAGCCCCCATACTGTGTCTTAAATCAGTGCATTATTAAGTCCAAAGTGTCATCTGGGTGGTGTTGAGCCTGCTCTCACTTTCTGCTGAAGCAGATTACTTCAGACAGCTGGTCATCAGATGGTAGACTTGCCCCATAAACCATTGTGCTGATTCCTATAACGCCACCTTTGAACTGCTTTGAGAACCTGTTCCAAGGATTCTGGGATGGCTTTGACAGGGACTGTTTCGTATACATGGGTTTGTGGTTTGAGAGCTCTGTTGTAAACTAGTTTCTTTAGCTCTGATTCAGATACTTGAGGTTTTTCCGCTGGCAGTCACAGCCTTTTTTCCATTTTAAAAATGAGTCTATGTGACCAGACCTAGGTCTCAGTGAAGGGTTCCTCAAGGATTTCCCTGTACCCTCTCCAGCTAATCAAACAGCTGCCTAACAGTACAGGAGATTCACACAGGGCCTATTTTAGGTTTAATCTACAGATTGATAGCTAAGTAAGCAGGGACTTATTTTTGCTGCAGCCTGTTCTGCCATGTATCAGCACCACAGAAAGAGAAATGAGCGGAAAGAGCCAGTAAAACACTAATACTCTATTGCTTTTCACTTCAGAAGGCCAGAGATTTGCACATGGAGGAACTGAAGTGGCAGCAGCTGGAAAGTGATCAGGCTTATGTAACAAACAAGCTGCAACAGGAAGGGTCTGCATCCCATGGAGACTCTCAGCGCCGACGGACACTATTGCAGAAATACACTGCTCTGCGGGAAGAGAGAATCCAGGGCTTTCTGCAGGCCCTAGAGCACAAAAGAGTGGACTTCCTTGAAAGATTGTGTACAGTGTCTGCATGACCTGGATAGGCCTTGTGACGGTGAATATGAGCAGTGTTAGAAATAACACTACTGCTAGGCCAGAGGAATTCACTATGTGAGCGGTGGGGGTGGGGGGTTCCACACTGGTGATGCAAGACTGGTACTAGATTTTATATCCAAAGTGGCACTATCCAAAGGGCAGAGGCTGAGTACTAAGTACTACTTCTGTAAATGCCACTGGGGAAGGTAACGTGTCAGGATGGTCTTGCCTCCTGCCACTAAAAATGGAGAAAGGAATGCAATGCCCCCTCTCTTCTCTGCTGCCTGACACTTTGCATCTCTGGGTATTTTTGTGACCAGCAATTGACTAGAATGAACTTCCAATGTGGTTAAGTCCCCTTGTGAGTCAGTTGAGGCAAAGCAACCCAATTCTCTCTTAAATCTGCCTTGGGACCCTGTGCTTCAATTCCTACTGCCACTTTCAGTGAGATTTGTTTATTATAACAACATGGGTGGTCAGCTCTTCCAAAGAAGCATGCTATTCCCATTCTTTTGGAAAGAATTGTTTAAGGTGGGGACATGCTATGAGCTGTGGCAAAAAATATTCTCCATAAATCATTTTCTTGTCGAATTTTTCCTTCTTTGCCCTCCTTGCCTTTTTGTTCCAGGTTTTGATACATCTGCTGCTGGCTTTCAAAGAGCTGTAGCAAAATATAGACTCTCAGCCATGCTGTATAGAGGAAGAAGTTGTTACTGGCCCTTAATATCATCTTGTACTTGCATTCTTGTTCCATTATCCTCTCTACAGTATTGAAAGAAGGAAGGGCACAGGTGTCTTTTTCCAATATCCAGCACAATACTTGTATTTATTTATTTATTATTATTATTTTTTTGGAGGAGGTGTGGAGAAAGAACTGGCTGTGAATCAAATACCTTGTTAAAAAGAACTTGTCTGAGGCAGGGAGATAACTTAGCTAAAGCCAGCTATGTTATGATCTACTAAATGAGTGTAAGACTCAATCCACATGTACAGCTTTCCCCTTCTGCTTCAGAGTATTGGGATGACCTTAGCTCAAGAACATGGGGACTGAGATGAATCCATGTTTCCTACTCAATATGGTTTAAAGATGACCTGTAGAGGCTCTTACCAGGGATGGTTTGTGTGGCTGTGGAGTAATTTGATGATGGGAAAGACTCAAATTGGCACTGTACTACCTGTTTTGAATTCCCTACTGGCAGGGAGATGGACTAGCTGACATTCTAGTTTTTTCCATCTCTGATTTATGTGCTTTTGTATGGCCAAAACCAACTGAATATGTCTCCACAATTTTTTTTCTGAGGCACATTCAAATGCAACATCAGCTTTTGCTGTTTTTAAAGTGTTCCTTTTACCTCCAGATAAAAAAAAAAAATGCAGATTTGAAAGACTTAAGTGCTGCAAACAGCACCCTGAAAATTATTGTGAAGAGGATCATTAAAATGTCAAACATGAATAAAGCATTTTACTACAAAACATTTTTAAAATAAGCTGAAAATTTAAAACTTTAGGAAGCTGCTTTTTAAAGATTTAATGAAGATGATGCCCAGGTGTAATGTTGTTGTTGTTGTTCCTTAACCAATGTGTGACTCCCCACTTTATGCCTGTTGAGATGGAGTGAATTAGCAGATTTTCTGATTTATTCTGTTTGGGTGATGTGCTGGAAGCCTGAGACATTGGCTGAATAAACCACCTTCCAGTGCATCCTCTTGTGTAAATAGCTAATGCTACCTCCCAAATAATGCATTGTGAGATCTATGGGTGATGAAGGCTGTCCATTTTATAGTGTTTATCTACCTGCATTTCATTTAATCCTTTCTTTACCTTTCAAGAGGTCTTCTGTGGAAATAGTTCTTAAATTCCCTGTTCTCTTATCCTTTAAAGAGTTGGATTTCTCTGTAGTCTAAATTTTACAGGGTACGTAGAGTCCTAGCACAGGACTTGGGAGCCCTGTTCCACTGTACCCTTCAGGGACTAGAGAATAGGTTCTGTGCAATAACCTGTTTTTGGTCAAATAAAATTATATTTTCAGGAGTAAGATGAAAACCAGGACAGCCTGACCTGCAGTGGTATGTTTTTTTGTTTTTTTTTTTTTAAATAAGGAATTGGTGGAAAAAGGTTGTGAAAAACAGCACGCAGAGCTTGTACATATATATCTTTTTAGAAATAGGTCTTTCCACTGAAGTTTTTGAGTTAAAGCTACAGGAAGAAAGTTGCAAGCCTTTTCAAGGGAGAGTCCAATTTCTGTAATTTAGAATGGTGTAAAAGCCTTGAGGGAAGGTGGATATAATATGGATAATTATCACTGGAAAGTTTTCTGGGAAGGCTTGCTGTGTAGTTGAAGAGCCCTGTTACAACCCAAAAAGCTGTGGGGTGCTATTCTTCTAGAGAAGGTACAGCTAAAAGGACAAGCTTGACACAGGTAAAACTTGTGTACCTAACAATCAGACATAAAGTGTAGCAAATGTACATGGAGAAATAGACTATGGGGTCTTTTTCTCTAACTGTGTCTTCCTGTGGAAAGGGGCAGACTCTACAAGTCATTTACAATCCATAATGGTTACTAGCACTCAGACTTTCACCTTTTTGAGTTGTTTAATAGTCCCTAATCTAATTTTTCTGGGCTTTTCAAACACGAAAAGATTAGTTCCCCTATTTCTGTTGGAAAACCTGGAATTTTTACAGGTTGAGGGTGGGGGAGATGTTTTATCCTCCGTGTAGAGAAGCTTCGAATCAGTTTCTGTTATCAGCCTAGTGTTGATCTGTTTCCCTATTGCCAAAAGCATGTCCTAAAGCACTCAGTTCCACCCTCTTGCTTTAAGGAAATCCCTGTCCTTCATTGATTAAGGCCTGCTCCTTCCTCTGGACATTGACTGGGCTATTTCTCTCTCAACGTTTTAGTTGCCATTTTGAGTGATTTCATTTTGCAATTCAAAAAAAATAACTTCTTAGATTCATTTTCCCCTTGCAGCCTGGGCTGGGTGGGCGTTTAAAACTCAGGAGCGATCCCTGCGGGTGTGGTGTGAACCTGGGGCGCGCGCTCTGCCTTTGTGCGCGTGGGTTTTGGCTGGCTGGGCCGGCGCTCCTCGCGCGAGCGGAGCTTTGTTCCCCGTGCGAGGCGCTAGCAACCCCCCGTCGCACGTGGCTTGGGGGGGGGGGGGGGGCTGGCGGGTCTAGAGGCGCAGCGGGCGCTGGGGCCGGGAGTCCCCACGTCCTAAGGGTGGTCCCGCCGGCATGCACGATTGTGCCTGGTGTGGGGGGATACGCTAGGAGGGCCGGCGGGTGCTGAAGGGACAGCTCCTTAACCTGCCCACTAGCCCCCAGCAGACAACGAGGCGGGGGCGTGGGGGGCTGGCTCGAGGTAGCAAAGCCCGCACCGTGCATGTGCGGTGCAGGGGCGACCGCCCGCCCGCGCGGGGCTCATTCCCACCTGCCTCCCCGCCGGCAGCGCCAAGCCTAGGCGCAGGGAGGCCGCTGGGCCCAGTGGGCGCGATCCGCCGGCCCGCAGCCCCCCGCCTCAGCGGAGCAGCTGTTGCAGGGGCCTGTCTGCACCCTCTCGGCTCCAGCTGGGGGAGGGTTCCCGCCGCCCCCGGGCTGGGCCCTGGCAGGTTCGCAGGGGTCTCTGCTTTCCCCCAGTGGGCGATCGCCTTAGTCTACCTTCGCTCTACGCTCCATCTTCCTCCCTAGTGACCCGCGGGAGCCTCCTTACAGCGGCGTAGGGCGATGCACAGCGCCCCCCCCCCCCCCCGCCCCCCCCGGACC